TCCGCATACGGCTCCATCCCAAAGAAGGCCTCACAGATGAGTCCAGCAAGCCACCCCCTTCGACGGAAGCTGCCCCTTCTCAAGCAAAGACAGGCAACACCGCCCCGGGCAGCCTCCAGCTCGACATCACACTCTGGATTCACAAAAGGATCTATATGACCTCCCCCTCACTTACCACCTCTCTCACTTAGGAACCGCTGCATACAGACACTCTCGATGAGGAGGAAGGAGGAGAGACAATAGTTAGAGAACAGGCAAAGGACTGCGACGAAAAGCCCCCCCTCCTCCCCCTATTTAAGGAGGAGACGCGACAGCTGAAGAGGGGCAAAAGATCAGACCGAAAAACTCTCTCCCTTCCCCCATTCAATACGGATGGGAACCGATGGGATGCACACTGACCGACGGAACGATGCATGGTCAGATGGAGCGATGCCCGGTCAGGCGGAATGTGGCCTGGGTATGGCCCACCACTACCGCATGACTAGGTGCGAGAGACGAAGCGTCACCACGCATAGCGGGCTCTCTGCCTCCCCAGGCGGGACTTGAAAAAAAAACCTAAAACGGGATCTCCGCCGGGAGAGACCATCGGGCTTCCCAAGTCGATTGAACGGCTCAGAAAAGACGCACCGAGACACAGGTAGGAAGCGAAGGGGTGCCCCATGTAGGCCATGCCGACTTCGTCACGAACGACGAGCACGGGTCCCGGTCGGACATTTCCGACTGAAGCTCTCCGAACCCCGTCACTCAAGTCACCAAGGTAGAAACTACCAAACCTCTCTATTTCTTTACAATTATTTCATACATCCATACACGCATTCATTCCATATGCCCGTGCCTCCCGGACGATTCGGGCCCTGAACCGCCCGGGGGCTCGGGAACTAAGCATCGCACGTGCAGCGAAATGCATCGCAATGCTCTGTGTTGCGTCACGAAGCGGCGGTTGCCTCATTCGATATGAGCAACCAACAGGGCCAGGGGAGAAAATCGCAGATGAGCCCCGTGCGGCCCTCGCCTAGTCTGGCAGACTGGGTCATATCAACCTTCTCGTTCGATCCTAAACCTCTCGCCAAGCCCATAGAATCTCCATCGAGGGGAGGTCGTTAGGCCACCCGGGTCGGTCTCTGGAACGACCCCGGCATCTGCCAGGTTGTAGGTAGAGTAGTGGAATGTCACAAGAGGGCTATGCCGACCCCGTGACGAACGACGGACCCGGATTCCGCTCGATCATACCCGTTAGCGAACTCACTGAGCGCGTCACTCGAGCCCGAGCGATCTGGACAAGCGACAAAACTCAGCCCCTCCGGTTGTGAGGAACCGAGGATGGGGTAACGCACACAACGCACACCAACCCCTACTAAGGCCCAGCAAGGCTCGGGGGCTCAAGACGCAAAAAGCCTGGGTCTGCGACCCCGATCTCGCCCCATCCGGCTACGCTTCCGACTGCACTCCAAACACCTGGGTCTGCGACCCCGATCTCGCCCCATCCGGCTACGCTTCCAACTGCGCTCCAAACACCTAGGTCTGCGACTCCGATCTTGCCCCATCCGGCTATGCTTCCGACTGTGCTCCAGACACCTGTGTCTGCGACCCCGATCTCGCCCCATCCGGCTACGCTCCAAAGCACCTGGGTCCGTGACCCCGATCTTGCCCCATAACTCCGACTCACCCGATCCCACGACGCGCATCGACGCCAGGATCAGTGAGCTCTATCTCGTCCAAACTAACTTCCTCGTCCGATCCCACAGCGCGCACCGACGCCAGGATAGAATCAGTGAGCTCTGTCTCGTCCAAACTAACTTCCTCACCCGATCCCACGACGTGCACCAACGCCAGGATAGGATCAGTGAGCTCTGTCTCGTCCAAACTAACTCCCTCGCCCGATCCCACAACGTGCACCGATGCCAGGATCAGTGAGTCTTGTCTCAAATCTCTCAAACAACTAAAAACGCGCAAGCACGATCGCTACAGAACAACCCCCAGGCGGTTCTGCCCGAACCGCCCGGGGGCTCGGGCGCTACACCTGCGGGTGCGCTCGCGCGCAACCACCGACGAAACGGAAACCTCCCCCACTAACACACAGAAAAACCCCCAGACGGTTCTGCCCGAACCACCTGGGGGCTTGGGGGCTACACCCGCGGGTGCGCTCGCGTGCAACCGCCGATGAAATGGAAACCTCCCCCACTAACAACACAGAAAAACCTCCAGACGATTCTACCCGAACCACCCGGGGGCTCGGGGGCTACACCCACGGGTGCGCTCTCGGGGGCTCCTGTCGGGTTCATAAACCCAGGGTCCCTCGGAGACCGGCTTCCACTTCTAGGCTCGGCCCAACCAGGCAGCACACAACTCAGGGGCCGCCCCAAGAGTCTAAAAATAACAGGCTGGAAGGGCGGTCCAGTCATCGACCGGAAGGTCTAGCCGAAGAAGAACACCGCCCGCTCGTCGACTACTTCAGCCCACCTCTCCGACTGGAGCGCTCGCTTCGGACTCCAGCCGCCTACGGACGGCCTGGCCCAAGCGCTACTTCCGACTCCGACCCCGCGTCTCAGACCGGCGCGACCAGAGCCGACTGGGGCCATCCGACCGGAGACGCCCGCTCGGAAAGAACCAGGGGGCAAACGGAGAAAGCAAGCCAGGGCGCACAAGTCAAACCACGATACTAGAGACCATACCCTGTACGTCTGTAGGAACAGTACTCTGCAACTGCCCTAACACAAACGGTATTGTAGGCGCCGACGTTTCCCTCTACAGTATTGTGGGCGCCATAAACTCCCATACGGTAAGGCCCCCATGCCCCTGGGCATCGATAGTGTTGTGGGCGTCGGGATTTACCGTAACAGGTGAACGTGGTAAAACTCCTCACATGCCTCTAGACATCAACAGTATTTGCAGGTATCAACATCTGCCATTCCTGAAGAAGGCAACGCAACCTCCCACATGCATCTGACATTCTACAGTGACACCAACAGTGTTGTGGACGCCTACCATTATCTTGTACCCGCCGGCATGGGCAATAAAACTCAGTAGCATACGTACCCTTACCCTCTCACTTGTAAAGCCATTCCCTTTATGTATAAAAGGGGATACGCTCCCTCCAACATAGGAGAGTTATCTTCAAATTAGCTCAAGTTCATTCGAGAGAGTCCTTTTAGATTTATTAGATCGACCAAGTTCACTAGTCCACAACTATAGAACCGCCGGGTTCGGACCTCAAGCACACGCTTGAATACTTAGCTCATAGCGTAGCTCCTGTCGCTCTCGGCCCTTTCGATCAAAGCCGACCGGACCTCTTGTACACCCCATCTTTCTCCTTCTTGTTTGTAACCCTACTGTAAACTTTGAGCACCTGGGCTCAGGAATAAAGCACCAACTGATCCAAACTGGACATAGGGCACGATGCCTGAACCAGTATAAACCCTGTGTTATTGAGTGCTAGGCCACCTCCGATCATAACGTACGGTAAAACTATAAATATTCACTAGTTAGTCACATTCTGCACCGACAGTTTTATTATTAGTATTCGAACACCTGATGTGACATCCAGTACGACTCCTCCTCAACTTTAGTGCCTGCGTCAACCACCTCCAGATTGATAATCAGCCTGTTCGCTTGCTCGTATATGATCGTGGATTATAAGCTGGAACAGTATTTTTCTCTCACACTAAATCAGCCAGCGATAAATAATTCACGATCGTTTAGTTATTGAAACGGACAGGGTGAATGTTTGCAACATGAGTACATATTTCTCTGAGCTATCTCTGCTATCCGATAGTGCTTGAGCCCCATTCGACGTTGATTCGTTCGGCCAAATGCCAATGAGACTTTTCCCTGTGTGCCATTATGAAAGATCGTAATTCCCTGTGTGTCTCTGAAAAAATTCAGCGGTCTTCAGCGCCACTACTCCAACTTTTTCGTATCCTCCATGCCACTTCCGTCAGTTTGGGTTATAACGCCATCAAACTGCAGGTGTGAAAAGACGAAAATGGCCTTAAGTTCAAATATGTTATTAATTTTTTTAGCATCTTAACGACTTCAAATGAAAAAACTCAAAACTAGAAAGTTATAGATCTCGTTGAGATCTATAATTTTCATATAAAAATTATTTTCATTTAATTCCGCAAAAAAATATGATTTGATATGATTAATATATCTTAGAAAAATCATATTTTTTTGTGGAATTAAATAAAAATAAATTTTATATGAAAATTATAGATCTCGACGAGATCTATAACTTTCTAGTTTTGAGTTTTTTCATTTGAAGTCGTTAAGATGCTCAAAAAAATTAATAACATATTTGAACTTAATGGCATTTTTGTCTTTTCACACCTACAGTTTGACAGCGTTAGAGCCTAAACTGACGGGAGTGGTATGGAGGACACAAAAAAATTGAAATAGTGACGCTGAAGACCGCTGAATTTTTTCAAAGACAAAAAAAAATTACGATATTTTATAATGACACACAGAAAAAGTCTCAATGCCAATCTCCAGCTCTCCATTGGGCCCACCTCCCGGTGGCACCTGAACATCCCGTAGCCGAGAATGCTGGACAAGCTTCTAGCCTGGTCTACACGCAACAATCAGCCATGCCCATGACCAGGAGCCTGACGGTAGCTAGTACCCTAGTGCTAGTAGGTGTTCTGCAATGCGAGGGACGCGACGCGTGTATTTGGCAATCGCCGGAATCCACACCCACGTGCCACGTCACAAGATACGGGCAATCGCCGGAGTAAAATATACACTCCGAACGGAACTCTCGGTTCACGGCAATCCTCCCTTCCTTTCCAAAACTCCGCAGCAGCCCATTCCAAAAACTGCAGGCCTCTCTCCAAAATCCAAACACAAGCGCTGCTCGCCAGGAACCTTCTACGCGCCTGCTCCGAGCGGCAGCCGTCCCATCAGCCCTGCGTCCCATAAATCGGAGGCGGTGCCCGAGTTCGCGGCGCCTGGGTTCAGGGTTTTTGGTCGGCGCCTCTCTCGCCAGCGAGCGCGCGCGGAACGGGATGGAGTCGTCGTCGTCGGGCGGCGGGCTGGCGCGGCGGCGGAGTAGCGGCGGCGGCGGCAGCAGCGGCCGGGGCAGCTGCGACGCTGACCCGTTCGACATCCCCGCGAAGGGCGCACCCCTCGAGCGGCTCAGGAAGTGGAGGGTAAACACGCTCCTCCATGCTCGTCGTCATTTGTTGTATGTTCTAGCTGTGCACAGTGTGGTGTGTCTGTACTGGTTTGGGCTCATTGTGGTTGGTTCCGAAGCAGTGTGTAGTTTTTTTCTCCCCTGCTTTGGATGCGTGTGTTTGTGACGGAGCTCTCGATTGTTTTGGGGGAAGAACAGCCCACTCGCGCTGGCGAGCTTTGGCGTTAGATTTTGTTTTTTTGCAAGGGACTTCTGCGGAGTGCGGTGTATCTGAATTGGTCTGGGTTCATTGTCGTTAGGTTTGAAGCAGCGTGCTAGCATGGGCTTTCACTGGCGGTTTGGGTTTCTGAATTCGAATTATTTCTTCACCCTTTCCCCTTTCTAATTGAATTCGGACCCTTTTTTTCCCGAGAGAAGATGGTGAATTAGATATCACATCATGTGTTCAGACTTCAGACTCTAATCCTCTCATGTCCACATTTTAGAGCTGCGTTCCATCTGTAGATGGTTCAGCCGTTTCAACCCATTTGATGGTCTTCGATGGACTTCACTAAGATTACTTCCGAACGCTAGGCGTTCGGCATTGCTTTAGCATTCCAGCTTGCTTTCAGATTCGCTTTTTACGATTTTTTTAAAACTTTTTTCCAGGAGTTCATGCATCTCCTTACCCTTTTTCCACTCTTGCATTTGAGTGGTCCGACTCGTCCTTTCGTTGTCGCGTCAGTTCGATTTGGCCTGTAACCAATGCGCGTCAAGTACTGGAGTCATTTATTCAGATTTGATTCTGTACGGGTGCTTTTTCAGTGATAACTCGCCGCTCGGATTTGTTCGCCGCTTTCGACTTTTTTTTTATCATGAATACTTTAGAATTGTTCGGTTTATTTGATGTGCCCGCACTTGCGATAGATTTGTTTTATGTAATTTCAATACATTGGACCATAAGATTAAGCCAACGGCCTTCACCCTTCTTCTACCTCCGGCCTTCTCCTGTCGTAAGATCACAGATTACATGAAACAAATTTTTTTATACGGAAGGACAGATCACAATCCGCCGCCGCCACCGCCGCAGGTCGCGGTGGCTGCAGGTAGCCACCGCCGGCGCCCAGGCCGCTCGCCTCCATCGCGTACGAGCTGCGCGCCGGCGTCCGTCGGTGTCACGTCCTACGCCACACTACTGGTCACTGGTCAGCGTTGCGATCACTGTAGCCACGGTAATGCTCCGTCCGTGCGGCAGTTTCTCCACGATCACGATCATGAGCGCGCGTCCGGCCGGCGTCTGATCGTGCCGTGCGCAGCCTCTCGAAAGTGCTTTTGCACGGCGGCAAAGCAAAGTGGCGCACCGCCGTACGCAAGGGCTGACAGCGCCCAAGGGCCGGTGAGAGAGAGAAAAAAAATCCGGTGTTTTTTTTTTCTAAAACACAATTGTGCAATTGTGTTAGTATAGCATTTTCGTAGATTTGGGCCACTGTACCCTTTTCCTGATATTCATGCATTACAATTTCCTAAAACGGATATTGCTTGGAACTCTGGGTGTAGAATATTCTAGCTAGCTTGGCCACGCGGCAGATGGTTAGCTGTGTGCTGTGTCGACGTGATAAGCATTCCTGCCACACGTAATTTTATACTAGTTTTATGCTGGCTTCTGACTTTCTGAGTTGGATAGAAAATTACTTCATTGGAGTATTTACGGCGTGTTCGGCTGGCTTTAAGTCGGCCGGCTGGCTGGCCAGCCAACTCACGGAATCACTATTCACGTCCTGCCAGAACAGTATTTTCCTCTCACAACAATCAGCCAGAACAGTATGCCGAACGGGGTCTTTGTTTTGAGTTCTCTGACTAAACTGAAGGGCCCCAACTGCTTATTAGGATGCGAGAGATGTACTAGTTGTTCCGGTTTGCTAGCGGGCTAGTGGATTTACTACGTTTGGGCCCCTCATCCTCCAAATGCCATACCTGATTAGGATTCTAGGTTATCCCAAAATAATTGTTGTAACATGCCTGATTGAATGGTTCACAATGCCTAGCAAAAGGAGAAAGACATTTGACCACAACTCATTGTTACATTGTTCAGTTATTCTGTAACTCAAATGCTGCAGAAACCAAAAGATGTGTTCTATTGTTGTTGGCTGCAATTTGTTGAGGATATTCTGATATGGCCTTCCCATAATACCTGGAACCAAATTGCATCTTGTTCATGTTTTTAACTAAATAACTGTAAGAAATTGCTGAACATGTTTGAAATATAGGCAGAGCTAGCTGATCACTTTATGCAAAAAACTGCTGGCAACTAGAGTCAATAGTCAATTTACCTTTTATTTGAAAGCCAAATATATTGATGTTCATATGGACATATTCCTGTCATGGTTGGACATTACAAACAGCCTGCAGGAATTGACAACAGCAATAGCTTCCCTACAACTTTTGAGCAATTTTTCAAAAAGCGCTAGGCAGGTTATAGCTAGTTGTAACTTTTGCAGGTGGTGGTGGTTGGAGTAATGCCTTGTTAAATACAGGAGTTTTTTTGTATATTAAAACAAAAAAAATGACATTAGATTGCAACTATGAGTCCCATGACCATAATTTGTCTTTCCCATCTCAAATTAAAACTACTTTTGTACTTGGATCAAAGTCCTAAACCGAACAGGTGCTATGCAAGGCAGTGCTGCTCTGCCTAGCTCCGAGGCGTTGCCTTTTGGAACAAAGCTTTAGAGTATCTAACACTATAATTGCCCAGCATACAAGGCAGCATGACCTTTCTGTCTGGAAGTAGATTATGAACTTATGATTATGGTTCAGATGGTACTAGAGTTTTTGGGATCATCACTTCACTTCATCACTAAACCATGAATGTTGGCATTGCGTAGTGTACTTTGTATCACATTTCAGTATATGAAGTCCCCAAGTGTCAAAATACCCCACTAAGTACTGTCCTTTCTTTGTCTCTTGTTATATATTTCACTGCTCACAATTTAAAAATCTTCATGCATGAATAGTTCACTATACAGGATGCTCTCTTATTGTTAACTTGGCACTGCTAGTTGTACCTTTCCAAGCTGCAGAACTGTAATAGTAATACAAACTTTCTATACGCCTTGCTGTCATGTGGGGGCGCACGTATACCCGGCGTCGTCGTGCCCGTGACATCCGCCGAGCCGCAGAGCGAGCGTCCAGCGCGGCTGACGCCCAGGCCACCAAACGTGGCTAGGAGAAAATTTAGCGATTTGTTTCCTTGGCTGTTACCTTGAGTCTAGGGAGTTTGTTTCCTCTTTTTATTTGCCAAAGTTAGTTGAACCACGGGCTATATATCTTGTACGTGAGAACATTGAGATCATCAAGAAAGTATTACCCCAAACTCTATCTCTCTCTTTTGTTCTTAAGCCTGCGGCGGAGGGGCAAACCTCGCCGGAGAAGACGGATCGCGGCTACGAACTACGTAGTCGAGGTCGTGCTATCTTAGGGTTTGACGCCCTTGACAACCTGGTATCACAGACCAAACGATCCTCTACTCCCACCGCTAGCGCAGCGCCGTCACCCTCCACCATACACCCTAGCCCACCAACCACCACCGCGCCATCATCAACCGATCCCGCCGCGTCCCGCGTCGCCATCATGGGTGACAACGGTGACTTGAAGTCAACCCTGGAGGCCATCGCCACGGCCCTGGCCGCCCTGCAAACGTCGTCCGAGGCCACCACCGCCGCCCTGCAAGCCCTCGCCTCGGAGCGTTCGTCTTCGTCCTCGGGCTCCAAGGCACCGACCGGGGAACACCACCACGACAGGCCACCGAAGCACTGGCGCCCGGAGTTTCTCCATCTGACGGCAAGATGTAATTCCGCCATCTTCATTAACAGATGCGAAGTCTTTCTTCATCCAAAGAAGACGTCATACCATGGAGCTTAACGTGGATGGCTTCGCATAATCTGCAAGAGGCTGCAGCTTTGGTTCATGCACCTCCAGGAGACCGAGGGGACGCCAACGTGGGAGCGCTTTCAAGGAGCTCCTCAATCTGCGCTATGGGCCCCCCCTCCGGTCGGTCCCCCTCTTCGAACTCTCGTCGTGCCGCCGCACCGGGTCGGTCGAGGACTACTGTGACCGGTTCCAAGCCCTACTGCCCCGCGCTGGTAAACTTGATGAAGCGCAGCGCGTGGAATTGTTCACGGGTGGCCTCCTACCGCCGCTCAGCCTCCAAGTGCAACAGCAACACCCGCCGACCCTCGCCGAGGCCATGAGTCTCGCTCGTCAGTTTGAGCTCATGGAGCCGTACCTCTTTCCGTCCAAGACGAGCGGCAAGGGCGTTCTGTCCACTCCAGCACCGAGGCCGGCCCAGCATCCAGTCCCAGCGATCAAGGCGCCACCAGCAACTACGTCGGTGGAGGGGCGGCCAGTGCGCCGGCTCACCCAAGCCGAGCAGGAGGAGCGCCGTCGCCTCGGCCTTTGCTTCAACTGCGACGAGCGGTACAGCAGGGGGCACAACAAGGTATGCAAACGCTTGTTCCTGCTGGACAGTGTCGAAGACGAGGACGAGGATGACGCGGTCGAGGAGCAGCCAGACACCACGGTCGCCAAGGACTCGGCCGTCTTCTCCCTGCACGCTGTGGCCGGGATCTACACCAACAACTCCCTGCTCCTGCGTGTGTCCCTGGGTGCCACCTCCCTCGTCGCATTGGTGGACACCGGGTCGACCCACAACTTCATTGGGGAAGCCGCGGCCGAGCGCACGGGACTTCAGCCCCAGCCGCGCCCCCGACTGACGGCCACGGTGGCCAACGGCGACAAAATCGCCTGCCCAGGCGTGTTCCGGCGCGCGCCCATCTGCATCGAAGGCATCACGTTCAACGTCGACCTCTTCGTCATGCCGCTCGCCGGTTATGATATGGTGCTCGGCATGCAGTGGCTGGCGCGGCTGGGGTGCATCGAGTGGGACGTTCCTGGCCGCAGCATGGCGTTCCAACATCAGGGCCAGCGCGTTTCTTGGCAGGGCATCACCCCCCAGCATGGCCCGGGCGCCCACGCGGTCTCCGTCGACGACAACCTCCTGGAGGGCCTGTTGGGTTCCTTCCCCGACGTCTTCGCCGAACCCACAGGCCTTCCACCACCGCGTGCTCGTGATCACGCCATCGTCCTCAAGCCGAACGCTTCACCAGTGGCTGTCCGGCCATACCGGTATCCGGCGGCCCACAAAGACGAGCTCGAGCGACAGTGTGCCACCATGATCGCCCAGGGCATTGTTCGGCGCAGCGACTCCGCGTTCTCGTCCCCGGTCCTCCTCGTCAAAAAGCCGGACGGGACGTGGCGTTTCTGCGTCGACTACAGGGCGCTGAACGCGCTCACGATCAAGGATGCGTTTCCGATCCCGGTCGTCGACGAGCTCCTCGACGAACTCCATGGCGCACGGTTCTTCTCCAAGCTGGACCTGCGCTCCGGGTACCACCAGGTGCGGATGCGCCGTGAGGACATCCACAAGACGGCCTTCCGCACCCATGACGGCCTATACGAGTTTTTGGTGATGCCATTCGGCCTCTGCAACGCGCCGGCAACTTTTCAAGCTCTGATGAATGATGTACTTGACGCGTTTCTTCGCCGCTTTGTACTCGTGTTCTTTGACGATATTTTGATATACTGAGAAGACGTGGGCGGATCACCTTCGCCACCTCCGGGCCGCCCTCACCGAGCTCCGTCGCCACCGACTCTTCGTCAAGCGCTCAAAGTGTGCGTTCGGGGTGCTGTCCGTCTCCTACCTCGGCCACGTGATCTCAGAGGCGGGCGTCGCCATGGACCCGGCCAAGGTGCAGGCCATCCACGACCGGCGGTGGTGCATGTCGGCCGGCAGCGGTTCGCGGCTTCCTCGGATTAGCGGGCTACTACCGCAAGTTCAGACACGGCTACGGCATGGTCGCGCTCCTCCTCGGCGGCGCTCTTGAAGAAGGACGGGTTCTCATGGACACCGGAGGCGGCCGCGGCTTTCGACGCCCTCAAGTCCGCGGTCACTTCGGCGCCCGTGCTCGCCATGCCGGACTTCACCAAGCCGTTCATCGTGGAGTGTGACGCATCGACCCACGGCTTCGGCGCCGTGTTGATTCAAGTCGGCCACCCGCCAGCTTCGCATTCTGATCGGCGGTTGCGCCCGCCACCGTGCCCTTGCTTTGCATATGAGCGTGAGCTCATAGGCCTCGTCCAGCGGTTCGGCATTGAGGCCGACTTGTAGGGCCGTCGGTTCGTCGTCAAGACCGACCACTACACCTCAAATACTTGCTCGATCAACGGCTCGCTACCATCCCCCAACACCGGTGGGTGGGCAAGTTCTTTGGGTTCGATTTTCGGTGGAGTACAAAGCCGAGCGTCAAATACGGTGGCAGACGCTCTCTCGCGTCGTGACACGGCGGAGACCGGCGCGGTGCTGGCCCTCTCGGCGCCCCGCTTTGATTTCGTCGCTCGCCTCAAGCAGGCCCAGCAGACCGATCCAGTCCTCGTCGCGCTACACGATGATGTTCGCGCGGGCACCCGCGTGGCGCCATGGAGCGTGGTTGACGGCATGCTGCAGTTTGGGGGCCGCTTATACATACCACCGGCGTCTCCCCTTCTTCAAGAGATCATGACCGCGATACATGCGGAGGGACACGAGGGCGTCCAACGCACGCTGCATCGACTTCGCCGCGACTTTCACTTCCCTAACATGAAACAAGTTGTGCAGGATTTTGTTCGCGCTTGCGCCACATGCCAGAGGTACAAGTCCGAGCACCTCCACCCCGCTGGCCTGCTCATGCCACTTCCAGTTCCTCAAGGCATATGGACGGACATCGCACTCGACTTCGTGGAGGCTCTACCGCGTGTCAAGGGGAAATCAGTCATCCTCACGGTGGTTGATCGTTTCAGCAAGTACTGCCACTTCATCCCCTTGGCGCACCCCTACTCGGCGGAGTCCGTCGCCCAGGCGTTCTTCACCGACATCGTCCGCCTTCACGGCGTACCGCAGTCCATAGTGTCGGACCGCGACCCGGTGTTCACGTCCACCTTCTGGCAGGAGCTGTGGCGTTTGGTGGGCTCCAAGCTGCACATGTCGACCGCGTTCCACCCGCAGTCTGACGGACAGTCCGAGGCGGCCAACAGGGTGATCATTATGTACCTGCGCTGCCTCACCGGGGATCGGCCTAAGCAGTGGCTACGGTGGCTGCCGTGGGCGGAGTTCGTCTTCAACACCGCATACCAAAGCTCGCTCCGGGACACTCCGTTTCGGGTGGTTTACGGTCGGGAACCGCCGTCCGTCCGTTCGTACGAGCCGGGGGAGACCCGTGTCCCGGCTGTCGCCAAGACCATGGAGGAACGGGATGCGTTCCTTGCTGACGTTCGTTACCGTCTTGAGCAGGCACAGAAGACGCAGAAGCGACACTATGACGCCAATCACCGTGAGGTCGTGTACAAGGTGGGCGATTGGGCTCTGTTGCGCCTGCGCCACCGCGCTCCTGCCTCGCTGCAGCAGCCCGTGACCGGCAAGCTGAAACCGCGATTCTACGGCCCCTACCTCGTCACCGAAGTCATTAACCAGGTGGCCGTCCGCCTCGCCCTTCCTCCCCAGGCTCGTCTCCATGACGTGTTTCATGTGGGCGTTCTAAAGAAGTTCGTCGGCCCACCACCTACTGCGACGCCACCGCTGCCTCCGATTCACTACGGTGCTGTGGCCCCGGAACCTGAGCGCGCCATCCGCACACGCCTGGCTCGAGGAGTTCGTCAGGTCCTTGTCCAGTGGAAGGGCCAGTCCGCGTCTTCGGCTACATGGGAAGATGTTGAGCCATTCCTCTCCCAATTTCCATCCTTTCAGCTCGAGGACGAGCTGAACCTCGAGGGGGGGAGAGATGTCATGTGGGGGCGCACGTATACCCGGCGTCGTCGTGCCCGTGACATCCGCCGAGCCGCAGAGCGAGCGTCCAGCGCGGCTGACGCCCAGGCCACCAAACGTGGCTAGGAGAAAATTTAGCGATTTGTTTCCTTGGCTGTTACCTTGAGTCTAGGGAGTTTGTTTCCTCTTTTTATTTGCCAAAGTTAGTTGAACCACGGGCTATATATCTTGTACGTGAGAACATTGAGATCATCAAGAAAGTATTACCCCAAACTCTATCTCTCTCTTTTGTTCTTAAGCCTGCGGCGGAGGGGCAAACCTCGCCGGAGAAGACGGATCGCGGCTACGAACTACGTAGTCGAGGTCGTGCTATCTTAGGGTTTGACGCCCTTGACACTTGCTACAGTAGCCTATGAGATATCGGGTGTGTGTCAAACTATAAAGACGACATTGTCTGGATTGTTACACCTTCAGACATGTCTAAACAGTGTCTAAGATGGTGGGGGTACTGTAGTGTTATCTACTTGAGTTTTTCTTTCCTAAAATATCTAACCTTTTTTTCTCTGCTAGAGTGATTAGCTCGATATCGTTCTTTTGATATGTTTGGTTTCTAATACCTTTCGTTATTGCAGCAAGCAGCCCTTGTGCTGAATGCGTCAAGGCGCTTTAGGTACACTCTCGATTTGAAAAAGGAGGAACAAAAGGAGGAAATCAGGAGAAAAATCCGTGCACAGGCACATGTTATAAGGGTATCTTACTAGAAACAATGTCTCATCATTCCTTAAGTTTACCTTTTGGTATTAGCTTATGTCTATATTTTCTTATGCAGGCCGCTTTTCGTTTCAAAGAGGCTGGCCGAATCCATGTTCAGTCTGAAGAAACAAAAGGTTTGATTTCAATGTTTACTCACTCTCCTTTGTTAGGGGATTGCACTTTGTTCGTACTGGTCTTGCATAATACCTGTAAGCTGTTTTTCCAACTGCTACATATCCTGGTCCTTGTGGTTTGATGTGACAATGCATTCTAGGAGGATCATTTATTTTGTACATGATAGGAGCATGCTTTGCTTCTTTGCAGCGTACTATGCATTGTGCACCGGTGATCCTTATTCAATGCGTAGTAAAATGAAAGATATCCTGTTGTTGCAATTCTTTTAATACGTTTTCAACCCCGACTTCTGCAGTACCAAGTGCTGATGGTGCACTTGGCTTTGGAATCAAAGAAGACCAGCTTACAGCACTGACAAGGGATCACAACTACTCTGGTCTGCAGCAATACGAAGGGGTAAGCTAATCCTGGTGTCATAATCATTTATCTCACTACTTGCCTGTGATAGTTTCAACCTTGTAATTTCCTCCACAGGTTTCTGGTGTAGCACATATGCTAAAAACCGATACAGAGAAGGGGATTAGTGGAGATGACTCCGATTTGATGGCAAGGAAAAATGCATTTGGATCAAACACATATCCTCGTAAGAAAGGAAGAAGCTTTTGGGTATGCTATGGTTTCCTTTATGATATAGTACATTTCCTTTCTCTGGGTTAGTAACTCCTGCTGACTATACATCGTATTTAGGCTTTCGTGTGGGATGCTTGTAAAGATTTGACGCTAATCATCCTCATGGTTGCTGCTGCTGTTTCACTGGCCTTGGGCATAACAACAGAGGTGGGCATCACATCTGTAGTTATTTGACTCTCTTAACTGTACAAAATTGCCAACTGTGTTTTGTCTAGCTGAATGAGTTGTTTTGTTCTTTTTCCCTCCTTTTGCTGTTTCAGTATCCTATTTCAAATCTATCCAGTTTCATCTAGTTTCTGGTGCATGCATTTTTTTGTGCAGATTTCATCATATTCCCTTATATCTGTCCATGTGCTTACCATTGGTTACATTGCTCATCTTTGCTCCTTTATCTTTACATTGAATATGTTGACATTAGGGCATAAAAGAAGGATGGTATGATGGAGCGAGCATTGCCTTTGCTGTTCTTCTAGTTGTATTTGTTACAGGTGTGCCACTATGACTTTTCTTGACTTTCTGTGTTCTTTGTCATATACTCCCTCCTTCCTAAACTCCTAATATATAAGGCGTAATCACTTCGTCCTATAATACAAGGCATGCTCCCTCTAGACGCACGTATAACCATGCGGCAGTACTAGTGTTGAGAGAGAATTAAATACGTTCCTTGGTCTTTGAAAGAGAAGGGCGGGCCTGGTGCAAGCGGTAGAGTCTTACCGCCTGTGACCGGAAGGTCCCGGGTTCGAGTCGCGGTCTTCTCGCATTGCACAGGCGAGGGTAAGGCTTGCCACTGACACCCTTCCTCAGACCCCGCACAGAGCGGGAGCTCTCTGCACTGGGTACGCCCTTGGTCTTTGAAACAAAGGTGGTTATGCCTTGTATACTAGGACACATGGAGTAACAAAGCAGTGTGTTTCTATTCACATCAAGTCATCATGTAATATATGATAAAACCAATGACAAATTTGTGAAAAGTTACATATAATTTTGCAAAATTAGTATTGGTCTAAACTCTAAAGCAATAAAGTTATAGTCCAGTATGTATGCCGGAAACTTCAAATAAAACCTCTCTTACTCCTTAGTGCCAATACTACCTTTTACAGTTTGTGTACTGTTGCTCAAAATCTAGTGGCTGTTATTTGTCATGTTAATTTTCAGCTATCAGCGACTACAAGCAATCACTGCAATTCCAAAATCTGAATGAAGAAAAACAGAACATTCGTTTGGAGGTGAGGATTAGAGGCGCATTTATTGCTATCGGTTTCTTTGTTGATCCCAAATAATGTTACGAATCATTCAGGTTGTTAGAGGTGGAAGGCGAATCATGGTATCAATATATGATTTGGTTGTTGGAGATGTTGTCCCACTCAAAATTGGTGACCAGGTAGAGAAGGCCACTGAGCATGAGCCTCATTTTCGAGTCATGTGTCTACTTTCAATTTCTAAGGATACCCTATAATTTCTTTGCCAGGTCCCCGCAGATGGTATCCTTGTCAGTGGCCACTCCCTTTCCATAGATGAATCAAGCATGACGGGGAGAAAGTAAAATTGTAAGTTACTCCAATATGCAGCCTTGGAAGTAACACGCGTTACATCTGAACCTAACTTGGCCACATGGGGGTTATTTGAAGGCACACAAAGATCAGAAGTCACCATTTCTAATGTCAGGTTGCAAAGTTGCCGATGGCTATGGCACAATGCTGGTGAGTTTCTGTATCCACATACTCCCCAGCCACAATTACTTTCTAGACAGGAATCCAGTCAAACGTCTGAAATTTCGACTTCCAGTTTTAAGATTTAGATTATGACATGAAAATTGTATGTTTAGATTTGTCTTGAAAATACTTTAATAATCTTATGGATTATTCGATTTCATAGATGTGTAGAAGAAAATAGGGTATAAAGGTACATGAAAATAGTAGATTACTTCTTGTTGCCCAAGTTAGCTTTAGTGTTGTTACTCTCCAGTATCAAACTTACTTTCATATGATATAATGCCTATTACCTCTTTAATCACTAGTAGTGATTGGAACAGTGTAGCGCATTTATCAACTGAACCCTACTGTTGTAATGTCCAGGTAACTGCTGTTGGAATCAACACTGAATGGGGATTGCTGATGGCAAGCATATCTGAAGATTCGGGTGAAGAGACACCACTTCAGGTTTGATTTTGTTGTTGTTGTTGCCAGCTTTTGCGCAAGTTTATTGACTTGACATGCCTTTGTTGTTCTGGTGCAGGTTCGTTTGAATGGTGTCGCTACTTTCATTGGAATGGTTGGACTGTCTGTTGCCCTTGCAGTTCTGGTTGTACTTTTGGCCAGGTAAAATTGCTTTTATATTTTAGTGTGCTAACTGTCTACTTTGTTTATCTACATCAATCTGTACCACCATGTTTTCTTGTAGGTACTTCACTGGGCATACTTATAATCCTGATGGATCTGTGCAATATGTGAAAGGGAAGATGGGTGGTGTAGGCCAGACGATACGTGGAGTAGTTAGAATATCCACAGTGGCTGTAGGTATTCTGTTACTCTGTTTATGCATACTGCTTTAGTGTTTACAGTTTTCGTCTCACCATCTTGAGGTGTAAATAGGTCACCATTGTGGTCGTGGCAGTTCCAGAAGGACTACCATTAGCTGTCACACTGACGTAAGCATGGTTTGCATGTTATTTTCTGCTAGCCCTTTCATCACCTGCCACTCAGCATGCTTTATTTTTGTCAGGCTTGCTTTCTCAATGCGCAAAATGATGAAGGACAAGGCTCTGGTATGTTCGCAACTTTCTATACCTTGGTTTTGGTATGCTACTTGATCCGACATCAAATTCTATGCACGCTCACTTCCTATGGAATATAGGTGAGGAGGCTTTCTGCGTGTGAAACGATGGGGTCTGCCTCAACAATCTGCAGTGACAAGACTGGCACCTTGACTTTAAATCAGGTGCAATGGTGTTTATTCACTTTATACATACTTGCATACAGGTTTCAGACAATTCTGTTTGTTAAATCTGCTTGGCCCTGATTTTTAAATTCTCTTCTTCCTTGTTTGATTTTAAGATGACTGTTGTTGAGGCATATTTTGGTGGAAAGAAGATGGACTCACCTGATAATGCTCAGATGTTATCTGCTGATCTCACATCGCTGATTGTTGAAGGAATTGCACAGAACACTTCTGGAAGCATATTTGAGCCAGAGGTTAGTAGTCGTCTCCATTCATGGAGAAAGCAAAGCATATGCGGTTGCATATGACATTTCAGGTTTTAGTAAAGATATAGCTTAGTAGTGATCCCTATGCGCCATCACCATCAGTGGTTAGATAAAATGTGCATCCTGCCAATTTTTGTTTGATTTATTGCACATGCTTGCCTGTGTAGTGATCTTTTCAAGAGGAAATTTTATGTGCAGTTCTCATGTTCAGTTTATTGTTTCTGGCTTGAGAATTATCAGGAGAGCATCAACAGACATGTGCATTCTTGGGGGCATGAGTTCTGACTTATGTTCTATGTCTCAGCAGGGTGGTCAAGAACCGGAGGTGACTGGATCACCTACAGAAAAGGCTATACTGTCTTGGGGGCTAAAGGTGCAAAAAGTCCCTTTATAGTGGTCTCAGCCTAGATCCTTCTATTTGCTAATCTCTTGCTATCGCTAATCATGGTCGGCACATTTCTACAGCTGGGTATGAAATTCAATGAAACAAGATCGAAGTCATCTATTCTTCATGTATTTCCTTTCAACTCAGAGAAAAAGCAAGGCGGGGTTGCGGTGCACCTGGTAATTTGAATTATCTGCAACACTGAAGATGTTGTGTGATGTCTTTTGAAGACCTAAGTTGGTTGTGATTTGAGTCATAATGTTGTGCTACATCCTCTCTTTTTTACCCTACCATAAATGGGTTGATATGGTGCATGCATGTTGGCCCTTGGTATCTGCCACGAATCTAATGGCTCTAATTGTTCAAAAACCTTCGCACTGTTCGAAACATAGCATTTTAGTTTCCACCTAGTAAGGGTTCCCTTTTTAAAACAGATTAATTATGTTGGAATTATTACCTACATTACACCTGATTGTTCAAATCTTGTATTCAGCAATCATGGAAACTCTCCTGCTGGTTCCAGAAAAGAAAACCCTCGACCTGCTGGTTCTAGAAAAAAAATATAAAAACAAAAGAATGATATAAGAAGATATTTTGTTCCTTGACCAGTGTCTCCTTTGGTTAAACTGTCAATTTGTCTTTTGAATATTTCAATGTCTAATCAATTCTCGTTTTTTGAAGGGTGGCTCTGAGGTCCATATACACTGGAAAGGAGCAGCTGAAATTATTTTGGATTCATGCACATGCTGGGTTGACACTGATGGTTCAAAGCATTCAATGACTCCAGAAAAAGTATATTTATTCTTCAAATTTTTAAGGTAACTTCATGTTTGTTCTTTTCATTTGCACAGTATGGTCTTAGTTTATTAATATTTCAGGTTGCTGAATTCAAGAAATTCATTGAAGATATGGCTGCTGCTAGCCTCCGCTGTGTTGCGTTTGCCTATAGAACTCATGAGATGGATGATGTTCCAGACGAAGATCACAGGGAAGAGTGGAAACTGCCTGAAGATAACCTGATTATGCTTGGAATTGTGGGAATAAAGGTACATAACATTTGAGAGTTTTGATTGTTGCTAATTTTTGAAATATTCTGATAGATGCACTCTCCATCTCTCCCTTTTTATTACTAATGCTACCTTTCAATAGTATTTGTTCCACATTTCGCACAAAGTATTTGGTATTATGTGTCTAATTTTCAGCTTCTTTCCTGTAAATGAATTAAACCTGTTATTATGTCCCTTAGAGCTCAATGTGACCGTACATCTGAATTGATCTATTTATCAGTTTCTTTCACTGAGTTTGTCAGTATTTGTCTGTATAAACTGTTTGGTCGGAAAGGACAACTTTAACCAATCAACAACACTAGAAATTGAATGATTACAAAACCACTATAGCAGTTGTTTGCTGCCAATTCAGGCAGTATCTTGTGTCCTAGATTTTTTCCACAACCTTGATTTCTAAATTATGATCTCTGTCTTTAGATGATCTTGATGAAGAATGTTCTAATAACCACATGATATAAGACTGCTGTTTGCTTTTCACTGTTCCCTTCTTTCTTATATAGCAAATAGCAAATATTGTACAGTGTTTGCTAACAGTGTGCTGCCTCTGTTAGCCATCATCATCAATATACCAGTAATATACATCTGTTAACTGATGCAGGATCCCAGCCGTCCAGGAGTTCGAGATTCTGTTCGTTTATGTCAAGCAGCTGGCATTAAGGTACTATCATGTTTCTGTGTCACTTTATACTAGATGCATCCAGAAGGGACAGGTCGCCATTTATGTTATCTTCCATAATCTATACCTTTGCTTCGTCTGGAGATGTTTACTTGAAAGTTATTCTCAGTCATCACTTTTCAGTTATTTATTTGAATTGTTAGGTGCGCATGGTTACTGGTGATAATCTCCAAACTGCAAGAGCCATTGCCCTGGAGTGCGGGATAGTTGATGATCCCAATGTGTCAGAGCCTGCCATCATTGAAGGAAAAACATTCCGGGCGCTGTCAGACTTAGAAAGGGAGGAAGCTGCTGAAAAAATCTCTGTATGTTTATTATCCTTGTATTTTCCCTAACATTGCATTATTATGATACTGTTGTAATATTTCTGTGGTTAGTATATGTCATTGTAGCCCCCCTCCCCATCCCTCCCTCCCCCTCCCTGGCCCCCTCTCCCCCAGCACCTGTATCCATGTCGGGTAACAGAAATAATATACACTAGCGCGAACCAGCTGACCCAATGTGAAATATTGTGGCAACAAGCAAGTTTTTTGTTGCTCACGTTTTGTGACATTGCTTATGCCCAGGTTATCGACTTGAGAAATAAAATATTTGATGAAAAAAACCATGAAAATGACCTATGTAGCACTATAAAACTCGCTGTGATTCAGTTATTAGTAGTACTATTGCATAAGCTGTCTCGGCTCTAACCGAAGGGCAATCCCTTAATTTACCTGCACTGACTCAATACTTCATTGGGTGCGTCAGGATTTGGGGGTTACTTCATGTCAAGATATGGGGTAACAATCCCTTAATCTATCTGTACCTGGCTACCCGCTAATGACCAAAAATAAGAATACAACCATGCTAACATGAGGAAATTTGTTTTTTGTGCCTATCTATTTTGCTATTTCCCTTCAGTTGTTATAAGAAGGGCGGGCCTGGTGCAAGCGGTAGAGTCTTACCGCCTGTGACCGGAAGGTCCCGGGTTCGAGTCGCGGTCTCCTCGCATTGCACAGACGAGGGTAAGGCTTGCCATCGACACCTTCCCAGACTCCCCGCATTGAGCGGGAGCTCTCTGCAGACCGGGTACGCCCTTCAATTGTTATATAAATCTTCAAACAATAGACTTTCTACCAATTTTGCTTTATGCATTGCATATGCAGATATACTATCTACTTTTGTCTTTGGGTTAAAGTATGCTCTAATAATGGCTACAGGTGATGGGGAGGTCTTCACCAAATGATAAACTTTTACTTGTTAAGGCACTGAGGGCAAGAGGTCACGTTGTTGCTGTTACTGGAGATGGCACAAATGATGCCCCAGCATTGCACGAGGTTTGTGGACTACTAGTCCCTATGAAATTTCTAATATTTTACTTTGAAACGAGCCTCATTTTGAACATGAACTTTCAAGTTCCTAATATGTAATTTAAACATGCATCTTTCCATATATGTTCAAGAAACATCTTTTTGTAGTACTTAACAAACTCTGAAACTTGCAGGCAGATATTGGTCTATCAATGGGCATTCAGGGAACTGAAGTTGCCAAGGAGAGTTCTGATATTATTATCTTGGATGACAATTTTGCATCAGTCGTGAGGGTACGTTAACTGTCTTAATCTTTTCTTGTTAGCCTTCTGCTACTGTAGTTCATGGTGTTTGTTTCTGGCTTCAGGTTGTCAGATGGGGTCGTTCAGTGTATGCAAACATACAGAAATTTATACAGTTCCAACTAACGGTCAACTTCGCAGCTCTGATAATCAATGTAGTTGCGGCCGTCAGTTCTGGAAACGTGCCGTTGAATGCTGTTCAGGTTTGAGTTCAGATCCTTTTCTATTATGATATATGTATTTGTACACTGAGATCTATTGGAAGTTGCATTATATCATCATTTAATTTGTAAAACTGCAACATACTTCAGAGTTTTCTTCAGTTCTGTGCGTGTCCAGATAGTATTTCTAAAAAGATCTGAATTACTGGCTGTAGTCTCTGTAGTGTTGGGTAAAATTCTAATTTTTGCTCCCTTGCTGACAGTTGCTGTGGGTTAACCTAATTATGGACACTTTGGGTGCCCTTGCATTGGCGACAGAACCACCTACGAACCATCTAATGGAGAGACCCCCAGTAGGGAGAAGGTTTGTTCTTGTGCATGTGCTATATTTGCTCATCTACCATCTCATGGAGAGACCCCAGTAGGGAGAAGGGATCTTGTTGGCAGACATTATGGACATGGCAGTTAATCGGCATCTGTCTTCTAGCATTGTTTAAACTGAATATGTTCAGTAATTGTACACACTACTTTCTCTGATCACAAATCCATTGGGACATTGACATTGACATGGCCTCTAATGCAATTGTTATGGGGCTAGAGGATTGAGAGGGAGAGGCCAGGGGAGCGACGGCGGCTGGCGTGCTACAGTACCCGCACGCTACAGTACCCCCCGCATACTGTTCACGGCTAGGTCTGCGAGGGTGAGAGAGAGCCGGCCGCGGGGCGTTTGCCCACGGCTGGGCAAGAGGGAAGGGATTTCCTTCTTAATTCTTGCTTGATTAGATTGATACATTTCCTCTACTTATATAGAGATGTTTACTTGACTCCTAAGCAAGGCTTACTTGACCCTTAAGTAAGCGACCCTTATCTCTAATTAATCCTAACACTAATGAGCTATATACAGCCAACCCAGGCCCAATAGGCCCCCACGACGACTCTAACACTACACCCCACACGGACATGCAGCTTGTCCTCGAGCTGCAACCTAACGAACTTATAACGCCGACGACTGACATTACTAACACCTAAAACAAGTCTTTTACATCTTGGCTTATTTTATTATTCGCAACCTGAAATAGATCGGGACTCTTTATTTTTGACTCCACGAACATAAGGTGGACACCATCCGCCTCCCGGATCCCATGGACACCATCTAGACGAAAGGGGTGCATGTGTATGGCCACCTCTCAAGTGGTCGCAAGCAATGACCATGCGACGGCGCCTACGTGGTGCGCTCTCATTGGTGACCCCACACCTTCTCCCCGCCAAACAATGCTGTCTCGCACCGCATGTAGAGGGCGGAGGGCTTCCGATGGAGAACGAGGTGGAGGGATGCGCCTCTAACTGCTGCCGCGCAGGGAAAATAGCATGCCTGGGCCGCCTGTGGGGAAACCGCATGCCCGAGATCCCCGACGCAATGACGAGATCGAGGTCCTCCGCGATTAAGCGCAATCGGCGGGCGGTCTGTGGCGGAGGCCGAGGGCGCCGCTACGCCGTTGTCCAAATGAGGCGACGCGGGCGGAGAGCTGCCGCATCGCTACCGCTGTGGGAACAGGGGCCGTCCACCCGCAGAGAGGACGCCCGAGCGGGCGCCGCCATGCGCCATGACAGCCGGTGGTCGGAGCGGCGGTAGGTGCGGGTGGCATCGGGCGCCGATGTAGATGGGTTTCGACAAACCGGCGATCAAGCTCGAAGCGGTGGCGGTGGCGATTCTTTATTGCGTGGCGGCGGTGGTGGGATCGGCCGCGGTCCTTGCGGTCCCAAAAGGAATGCATGAATCCCGCCACCTCTTGCCGAGGTCGAGCACCGCTGCCGTCAATTCGGCGTTTCGACATGACGCCAATGGCGGAGGGAGATGCCCCCGTGGCCATCGACAGCGAGGTCTCGGGAACGAGCGATGTGGTTCCCAAGCGTAACGGGCTGGGACGTCTCATGGTCAGCAACATGCTGACGGCGTGGTGGTGGCGGCGGAGTGGTGGAGGTGGGCAGCGAGGTCGACATCGGAACCGAGATCTCTGATACCAGATTGTTATGGGGATGGAGGATTGAGAGGGAGAGGCGAGGGGAGCGACGGCGGCTGATGTGCTACAGTACCCGCGGATACTGTTCACAGCTAGGGCTGCGAGGGTGAGAGAAGGGATTTTCTTCTTAATTCTTGTTTGATTAGATTGATACATCTCCTCTCCTTTTAGAGAGGTTTACTTGACTCCTAAGCAAGGCTTACTTGACCCTTAAGTAAGCGATCTTTATATCTAATTAACCCTAACACTAATGGGCTATACACCAACCCAGCCCAATAGGCCCCCTGACGTACTCTAACAGCAATAATCAGCAATATCTATAAAATACAAATTCCAAATAGAA